CCTACACTGGGACCAGCAGATGGCGTAATGGTTATGTCACTGGACTCCCAAGTAGCCACCCACAGTTCAAGTCCTTCACTTGGTAGTTTAAAACTCATATCGGGCGTGTGTCTGTGAGAGCCCCAGATCCTGAGAGGAGAATGGGGGAGAAAGGACTGCAGTGTGGCCATCCCTCCTGAGGGCTCATTTCTTGCTTTCTGTCTCTATGTCTCTCCGGGGAGCACACATGCCTCTATACAAAAAATCTCTCTCAAAAACAAAAACAAAACAAATAAAACAACTTGCCTACTACCGGAGCCAGCCCGCGGGGATGAGATTTCAGATGCCTATGGACAGATGGCTACTTCTGTTTGTGGGAGCACTGTTCCTATCCAATGCTTCTGTTTTAATTTATTACAGAAACTTTCAAACTGCACAAAATTGCACATGCCTCTATACCAAAAATCTCTCTCAAAAACAAAAACAAAACAAATAAAACAACTTGCCTACTACCGGAGCCAGCCCGCGGGGATGAGATTTCAGATGCCTATGGACAGATGGCTACTTCTGTTTGTGGGAGCACTGTTCCTATCCAATGCTTCTGTTTTAATTTATTACAGAAACTTTCAAACTGCACAAAATTTCAGAATGAGGATGTCATGAACTCCCATGAACCCTAAAGCCAGCTTCACCAATGATTAACTTTAATTTAAATAGATACATATAAAGAGCCAATAGCTAGCACAACTAGATAGCAAGAATGGTCATTAACTTTAACATGAAAATAGATAGTAATTCCTCAATGGGAATGTAATAAGGACATGAACAGTAATTGTTACATGACTGCATTAACTTGCAAAATCACTGCAGTAAACATTATCTAGCTGTCTCCTGGTTCCATTCAAATGTGATCCAGTATAAAGTAACCAAACACTTTCTGTAACACAGGAAATGTTGTATTATGAGGAACACACTCTACTATTCTGGTCAAAACCTGTAGCAGGAAGTATAATCAGAAATCAAGTGAATGGTAAAAAATTATTAAAATGATGGACATACCTTAGTCCCTACCTCTTACTGGTTCTTTCGAATTACTACTCCAGTAATTACTACTAAAATTAACACAATTTAAACTGCCCGATAAAAGTGTGAGGCAATTAAGGTGCACACCTCAAGAGACTTTCAAATGTATCACTCTGCTCAGTGCCCAGACTAAATGTTAGAGAGGAAACTGAAACAACCTAAACCCCTTCATTTCCTGACATAGGGAAGGATGTGCTAAGTTGGTTGCTTTGTTTAATGCTTTGGAATCTTGCATAAACAACTTCTTCAAGAAAAAAAAAAAAAAGAGCAAAACCAAGAAAGCAAACCAACAACTTCCACACAGGGATAGGATCTAATGCCCCCTCTTTAAAATTCTTTGATGGCACAAAGTCACAGGGAAGAACATGCTAGTCCAGCCCCTCATTTTAGCCTGATGACAATCAGCGGTCTGACTGGGCGGAGTGTCACTGGGCCTCAGTCTGAAAGTCCCAGGTGCTGGAGGTGGGTGGGGGGGTCTTTTGAAATGCAAGATGCAAGCATGGAAGGTCTGTGCTGTGCTGAGAAGAGCACTAGTTAAAAACACCAAGTCCTGGTGGGGGGAGGGGGGCAGGCCAAAGCCCATCCTGGATTCCCAATTCTGAAGATCCTGCTCATGGAGAGTCCAAACTGCTCTGGCCTTGAAAGGTACAGGCTGATAACGCCTATCAATGTCATAAAGAATGGGAGGGCAGTTCTCTGAGCAATTCCAGGCACTTAAGATTGATAGAATTATCACTGGCCAGTCACTGGCCATCACTGAGTACCCAGGGGAGACGTGGCTCACTCCACGGCTCCTGCCTCAGGACCCTGCAGAGCAGAGGGCCAGTGTACACAGGATTTCTGACCTCACTGCCATGGGCCATCTAGCCCCTGAAGAACTTGTCTGTCCTGAAATGAGTGGACAAAGAGCCAGCTCTCTGGAGCAGATCAGCTCTCAGGAGCAGATCCTGCAGAGCACTGCGGGAAGTACTGCATGGGAAACCAGGTATCCACAGCTGACCTGTGCCAAGTGCCTCACGTGGCAGATGCTGAAAAGTTCAAGGTGGAACTCAGCCCCTATCCTGCCATCAGCCGCATCAACAAGATGCTGCTGGTTCAAGGCCTTCCAAGTGTCTCACTCCTGCTGGCAGCTGGATACACTTGCTGAGCTGAGGGCCTGGCTCCCAAAACATCTGCACTGACACAGGGATGGGGAGAGTGGCGGGGAGAGGGGCACAGAGGGGAGGGCTGAAGGAGACTGGAAATGAGTGCGTCCTAAATGGGAAGGCAGGAGGTTTGAATTCTACCCTGTCAACTTGAACTCTTGCTCTGGATCTGCCTTCCTACTGAAACTTGTCCTGCCTCAGTCCCCTCATCTGCAAATGTGGGGTGTAGGGATGCCAGGAGAGAGTGGGTAGAATCACTGCCTGTCTGTCATAAGGCAGACATGAAGACAAAATGAGAATGTGGACTAAATGGCTAGCAAGAGCACCATAAAAATTTTTAAAAATAACAATTCTTTAATGGCTTATTCTCCAGAGATCCAGCATGAAGGCCAACTTCAAAGCTAAGACATGGCCCCTGCTAATCTGGCCGGCCTCACTCTAGCTGCCTCCCCATCCACATTCTCGGCTTCAGTCCTTCTGAAATGTACTATCACATGGAACTGAAATCAAATTCTACTCGCTCAGCACACCCTTCTCTCTCTTGCCTTCACCCTGGCATATGCCCTTCCCTCTGCTGTTGGTGATAGCTCCTCTTCATTCCCCAAACTAACTCCTGTGCCTTTAGTACTGCTCAGAATGGGCATCGCCTCCACTGGGAACCCTTCCCCAGTAACCCCTTCAGTGGTCTTCCTTTCGCCGAATTGTTTGTTTTAAATAAAGGTTTTTGCCTTAGTGTGTCTGTGCTTGGTGGAGAGGGAAACAAAGAGAGGGAAAGTGAGAAATCAGCTCCCAGAGGGGATATCCACACCTTAATCCTCCTTTCTTTTCCCTGGATCTTGGGCATGGATGCACTCGCACCCAGTGTGCGTTTCCAGTCACCAGGTCCAGGACTCAAACTGCAGTTGGTCATGTGGGAGTCCAGCCACACACAATTTTTTTTTGGAGAGGTTTTCGCTATAGGGTGCGTGCGCTCGCCAGACAGACAGAGAGACAGAAAGCGA